TTTTTAAACACCACCTATTTAATCATACCAAATTCCTAGTCCTCCATGTTCTTAATTTCTTCATATGTATGTTTTGCTAATGCAAATCAGAATGTCTTGTTTTTCTACTTAACAACATTTCAGTATTTCTTAAATTATTTCTCCTTATCATTTCCTCAGATTTTTATTTTATTAGATATGAACTTTTACATTAAACTATAATATACAGACTGAAAAGAAGTCATAAGTGTACAGCTCAATGAATTATCTCAAAGTAAACACACCCATGAGAATTTGTTTTGAAAACAAGGCTCTCTTTCTCAAGGGCCATGTTTTGGACAGGAAATTTTAATGTAAACACAGCTGGAACTTAGTTAAAGTGCTGGTTTTATTCAGTAACTACCTACAATAGGGAAAGAGGTGGGTTCCACTGGGTTTGGGCAGAAGTGACTGGATAAGTTTTACAGAAAGAAGAGTAAAGTGAGGACTTGGGTGAAGACAGGGAAGTGAAAAATTATGAAAAGGGTTAAAGGGGTTGGTCCTCATGAAACACATCTGGTTTACTAACTGGCACTTATTGGAATTCGGCTCCTACTGTCCCACAGAGACTGAGACACAGACACTATCTTCAGGTGTTGGTTGGAACAAATGGTAAATTTTTGGGGCAGCCTTCAGTTTTCTCAGTCAGGCACTTTAAAGGAAGATGGGGATTTCCTAGGGAGGAGGCCTTGGGTTGTTAGAAATATCAGTGTTTGTTCAAGTCTTTATAGGCTAAGGCTGAGGCAGGGCTCAGAGGAGTCTAGCTAGAGTTTGGTCAAGGAGAGAATCTTTGCAGTGCAACTGACCCACAGATTTCAGGACTGTCAAAATAATTCTGGGTCCACTTCTACTCAATGTCAGGACCCCCAGTCTCCATTATGTTGAGCAAAAAGTAGCCCAATGTATTTCCAAATGCCCCATCTCACAAAACCCACCATGCTAGATAATGCCTAAGGTTATCTCCCAGCTTTGAAATCCTATGTGATATCATCAACTATTTTGTCTCCATTTAAAAACACTGTCAAAGATACAGGCTGAAAAGACAGTGTGCAGAAGTGTAAATAGTGGAGGACAAAGGAGATTGTGGTCTTTCCTCCTCTGGAAATCAACATGGAATACACAATCCCTTGCCTAAATCCCTTTGTACAGATTCCCAGGGAAGCCAAGCAAGCAAATGGTCAACCCCTAAAGCAGACCCCGATTCAAATCCTGATTCTGCCATTTAACTATATGCAACTTGGCCATTCTCAGCCTCAGAAGCTAATACCTACTACTAAATATATATAATGTATCCAAGTCAGCCAGCACATAGTAATAGTCTAATACAGTGAAATCTCCTCCCAACGTGTATGGACTAGTGCTACTTAAGTTCCCCTCCTGGCTTGAATGCCATTTTCCAGGACTCCAATAGGATTCTCTCAAGCTAAAAGTCAAGACCTACAAACAAAATTCTTCAGAGAATTAAACTTTAGTAGAAGATTACTCAAACCACTCTGTAAATCAGTAATCATATCAATGTAACCATTTTTCTATAAAAAGTACAATTTTACACTCATTCCTATAGAGTTTTCAATATCACTTGTTGAAGCTTACCATGTGTCAGGCAGTTGGCTAAACCCAGATGAAACTAAAACTCGACTGAAGAAACTCACAAATTAGAGAAAGATCTCAAAGAACAACCCAAAAGCTAAATAAAATTTGTGACATAGAGCTAAGTTCTGCAACAGGGAAATGTAGGGCATGATGGTGGAAGGAAATGGACACTGGAGAAAAGAAAATTCTAAAAAAAAAAGAAAAGTCTATGCAAAGGGCTGAAAGCACTTAAGAATCTCTTGTTTTCAGAGAACTAAGATAAAATCACAGGTGAGAAGTGGAAGATGAGCAAGGTAGGAAAGGAAGTTCTGATTCTGAGGATCCTTTTGTATCACCATACCCTTAGCTGCAAATTCAAAGACCAATTCAAGAAAAAATTAGTTTATTAAAACATATTGGGTGGGGGCTGGAGTTGTGGCTCAAAGGCAGAGTGCTCATCTAGCATATGCGAGGCCCTGGGTTCGATCCTCAGCACCATATAAAAATAAATAAAATAAAGGTGTTGTGTTAAACTATAACTAAAAATTAAATATTAAAAAAACATATTTGGTGGGATGGCTACACATTTTATCCCCTGGTTTGAGAGAGAAAGGGGGGCATTTAAAATTATTCTGATAGGTGTATAGGAGACATTACATGGATGGAATCTTTCAATCTTTATTCCCTGAGAATGCTATAGGGAACAGCATGGGGCATGGTAAGGCAGCCTTGCCAGTGTGGTGGTCATGGGTCATGCTGTGAAAACATTGCTGCCTGAGGAGCTGCAGCTCTAAGTCACCACTCTATAAATAAGAGAAAGCCCAGACTCTTGGGGTTAGACATGTGGTAGAAATGATAATCTATGAGAAAAAAATGTTTGTTTCCAGAATTGAGTTTGCCACAAAGGAATGAACTTGACTTYCTCTTTTGCCAAAGAGTAGCCAGGCCTCTGAATCCTGAAGATCTGGGCTTTCATTATCCCCAAGAGGTCTCAACCCCCTGAAATAGAAGCATAGAGGTTTTGGGTTTTTTTAATAACTGCTACCTGCTTTGCTTGGYCAAATCCCTCCCCAACTGGGTAAAGGAGAACTTTAGTGATAGCTTCATCTGTTTTAATCCCTTTTTAGTCACATCCAGCTATCAAAACAGGGTAAATTTCAAAGATATGTATCTCTGATTGGAAGAGCTTACTACACCATGCTGCCAAGAGAAGGCAGACTGGAAATGTCAATTCCTGGGATACTATCTACCAACTGCCTTATCTTTTTATTTATATAAATCAAATCAAACACAACTAGAACCACTCCCCCACATCAAAGTTACCAAAAGCACCTATCAACATTTTCTAAGGGAAGGGGCTCCATCTAGTATTAAACTAAAGAGCCTCACATGCTCTGTGAGGGTGCCTAGGCCTGTGTACTATTTGAAGGTGGGGGATCTTCCCTGGAGGTTTAACCCTTCAGTGTCCAGCTGAGCCTAGAGAGGACTTCACTAACTTTTGCAAAGCCAAGGTCTTTGGTGGTTCCTGCTGGATGCACACAGGAAGCAATGCTCCCTGAGGACAGCCACACCAGGCTTTTCAGCTTTGTGAYCCAGACCCAAAGCCACACTCTTGGAATCTGCAGCAACCATCAGTTTCCATGTACTCCCTTTCTTCACATCTGTCCCCTGAGAGTGAATACAGGCATGGGGTGGGCAGGTAGAAAGAAGGGAAAGTAAGGTGAAGGAAGGATGGCAAACCCTCCCACTGTACTACTCCCACTCAATTTCTTCCAGGACCTCTCTTCATCTTCAAGAGGCACCCTGCTTAGCTTTTGGAAAGAGAGTACTCCCCTGGACTTGACAGAGGAAACAGTTACAACTAAATATTCACTTGAAATTTACCCTGTTTTGATAGCTGGATGTGATTAAAAAGGGATTAAAACAGATGAAGCTATCACTAAAGTTCTCCTTTACCCAGTTGGGGAGCAATTTGGCCAAGCAAAGCAGGTAGCAGTTATACTTCAGGGGATTGGGACCTCTTGGGGATAATGAAAGCCCAGATCTTCAGGACTCAGAGGCCTGGCTATCCTTCGCAAAAGAGAAAATCAAGTTCATTCCTTTGTGGCAAACTCAATTCTGGAAACAAACATTTTTTTTTCCTCAATAGATTATCATTTCTACCACATGTCTTAACCCCAGGAGTTTGGGCTTTCTCTTATTAATAAACAGGATTTTAAGCAGTGGATAGATTCATATTTGAGTTTCAGAATAGTCATCCTGGTTCATAGTATATTATCTTGTTTTCAAATTAAACGTTTYGTTTTGAGATTACTTTAGATTCACATGTAATTCTAAGACATAAGACAAAGAGAACCTGTGGAGACTTTACCTAGTTTCACCCATGGTAACATCTTGTAAAACTGCCCAGTATCACAAGTAGGATATTGATAATGATACAGTCAAAATGGACAACATTTCTATCATCACAAGGATCCCTCAGGTGGCTCTTTTAAAGCAATCCCCACTCTGGTCCTGCCTTCTACTTCTTAACCCAAGCCAACCACTAATATGCCTCATATGTTTGATGTGGTGTGGCACTAGTTCTCCAAAAGTACGAGATTTTAAGAGAAACTTAGGCAAATGGGAGGAGATGAAATGAGACATAAAGGGAGAATGCAAGAGAAAAGAAGAAACCTGGCCAGGTGGTGTATGCCTGTAATTCCCTCAACTCTGGAGGCTTAGGCAGGAGGAGGCCAGCTTGAGCAATGTAGAAAGACCCTGTCACAAAAAATTTTAACTCCGCCGCCACGGAGTGGGGGGGGGAGGGGGGGGTCAAGTAGCTCAATGGTAGAGAGCCCCTGCGTCCAACCCTCAGTGTAATAGAGAGAGAGAGACACAGAGAGAGAAGTCTTGCTGGGTGTCTACAGGTTTGCTGTGTGCTAGGTGCTGTTCCAGAAGCTAAGGATGCAAAAATAAGTCACAGTGTGGTAAAGCCACTTCAATGATGCATTCAATTCCAGGTATCACAAGCAAGTTCAGTTATGCCAAGTGTTAAGCATTATTAAGAAGGTGTGCACACTGGGGGGTGGGTAAGAAAATGTGGGCGAGAACTCGCATTGGATGGGAACTAGGAATTTCTCTGAAGAGGTAACATTTTCCTCTTCAGGAAAATGGGAAAGAAAGCAAGAGAAAGAAGGAAGGAAGTGAGGCGAGAGAAGGACAGAGGCAGAGAAAGAGAGAAGGGGAGAGAAAGAGAGGCGGGGGAGGAGAGGGGGGTGGGGGAGGGAGGCAGGGGATAAAGTTGGGGAAATACTCATAAAGAGAAGGAAAAGAAGGAGGGCTCGATGCTATCGGCACTCCGGCCTTCGGGCGTCGACTGCTAAGGTCTGCACAGGCCCGCCCCTGCCTTTCCCTCCCCTTGTCGCCCCTCCCTTCCCGAACCACCCCCGGCCCAACCTGCGCGAGCTCTGAAGCGTCCGGCTTTCCAGAGAAGCCATGTACCGGCTCCTGTCAGCCGTGAGGCTGCAGGCTGCGACCCCCGGGGGCCGGGCCTGGGGCTGCGGGCGGCGTGGGGCCCACCAGCGGGCTGGGCTGCCGCCGCTCGGCAACGGCTGGGTCGGGGGCCTGGGGCTGGGGCTGGGGCTGGGGCTGGGGCTGGCGCTCGGGGTGAAGCTGGCGGGAGGGCTAAGAGGCGCTGCCCCCGCTCAACCCCCGGCGGCCCCCGACCCCGAGGCGTGGCCTCAGGCCGTGCCGCTGCTGGAGCAGTCCCTCGCCCCGCGGTCTCCCCAGACCCCGGCGTCTCCCCATTCCCAGTGCTTCGCCAGAGCCATTGAGAGCAGCCGGGACCTGCTGCACAGAATCAAGGTGCGGCGACTGGGGAGGGGGGCGCTGGCGGCTGGGGTCCTTGCGCCCTAGCTCCAGTTCACCCCGAAATGGGGCCCCTTGGTGGTTGTATCTCCGGGCTGAACTGACCGCACCTTGGGCGGTGGGGTGCCGGTTGTCGGCTTCCGAGAAAGACTTCCCGTTTCCCGACCGCTAGATCGCAGTCAGAAGCCCTTGGGGGTTGCCCAACTCCGGGCTGAGGTCACCGCCTGCTTGGGGGACCGCCCCTTTCCCTGCCAGGGTGCGGACTTGGCGCTCCGCTCGCGGTTACTTGCGGGGCAAGGCCAGAGCCCGGGTGGGCGGGGCCCGCTGGGTGGGCGGGGCCCGGGGCCCGCTGGAGTCTTGGGGTGTACAGGGTTATCCCGCCTGTCTTTGAACTGTCAGTTTCCCCCCCCCCCTTTGCTTCTAGGACGAGGTGGGTGCWCCGGGAATAGTGGTCGGAGTTTCTGTAGATGGAAAAGAAGTCTGGTCAGAAGGTGGGCTCAGAAAAGTGTTATTTAGCGACCTGTTTTGTACCAATTGGTGAATAAAATATTGACTGTAGAGTGGTTGGAGTGAATCCCATAAATTGTTTGCTATTCAGTTTAAATTAAGTGATACATATTGTCGAAATAACGCATACAGAATGAAGAATCAGGTTACTTTTATTTAATTTTTTTGGTTGTAGATGGACATAATATCTTTATTTTTTATTTATTTTTATGTGGTGCTAAGGATCAAACCCATGAGAGGTGAGCGCTCTACCACTGAGCCACAACCTCAGTCCCCAGGTTGTTATTTTTTAATCACAGCAAGACTTAAAATGTGACTAACAGGGCTGGGGGTGTAGCCCAGCAGGAGAGCACATGCTTAGGCTCTGGGTAATCCCCACACCAAAAGTGATAATTAAACTCTGACTACTAAAAAAATTGGASACTTAAAAAATGGCTTGTTTCTAACCCCAGTCTTAGGACTGGATTTATTGGCTTGAAAAGGGTATATAGAACAATCCGTTAAATATCCACTATTGTATATTTGTAGATAGCCCTAATGGATAGATAAAACACCAGAATTTCTGTATTTTTCTTTATAAATCCAGTCAACAATTTAATGAGTTTTCTATTCTGTAAAAGGCATTGTTCTGAATACTAGAGATAACACTATTCATTGTCCCTAATGAGTTTACAGTCTTACTTTATTATTCTTTTTGCTGCACAGAATATTAATTACATTTTCTAATAAAAAGCTGGAAGCTTTGAGAGAAGCATTTCTATTTATTTTGTGACACTTTCATCAAAACATTATAAGGTAACTTCTCCAATGCACATAAATTGGTCCAGTAAGTCACCCTAGGTTTTTAGAAATCCTATTTTTTTTAATTGAAGTTTCAGATAAGAGAGTAGTAGTTTTTGGAGAAGTTGGTGGGAGCAGTAGGGTTTTAAAAAATTATTTTTCCCCAAGTATAAGTATACTTTGTATCAGTATACCTAATTTATGAAAATATTATAAATGCTAACCATATGGGTGAGAGTTTTGTTTTTATGCAAATATTTTCAGAATACAGTTTAAAAACAGTCGTTGTACTTCTTTTCAGAATTCAGTTCTTTATATCTCTTTGAATTCCATGTATTCACCACGTGCAAAAGATGAAACCCAAACAAATTTTTTTGTAGAAGGAGATTTAAATTACTCCTACATAGTTTTTCTTATGGTTTGCAGCTGAATCAAATTGATAGTTGGATTTGCTTTTCAGGACATCTTTTCACATTCATTTTGATTGAATGACTATTTTAAGGACATCAGCAGAAACTAAAAAATCAAGAATGATTATAATCTGAAGAATATTGATTTTTCTTTTTTTGTTATTTCTTTGGTACTGAGGATTGAACACAGGAGGTGTTTACCGCTAAGCTACATTCTTAGTGCTTTTTATTTTTTGAGACAGGGTCCTGCTAAGTTGCCAAGGCTGGCCTCAAACTTGGGATCCTACTACCTCCGCCTCTGGAGTTGCAAGCATGAGACCATGCTCATCTATGAAAATGTTTTCTTTAAAGAATGTAATTTATTTGAAATGTGTAATAATCAAATTGTTAACATAAGCTAAGAAAAATTAGTATTTGAGTCAGATGAAAAATTATTATATACAGGGTACACTTTCAGTTTAGTTATAATGTTAAAAGTGTTAGGCTTATTTTTGTCAGCATTGCTAAAACTCATTCTTACATGTCCAGTTTTAAGTAACTAATAAAAGTGGATTATCTTTTTGTTTAGAAGTGTACCCAAGGTGTTTTAAGATAGTCCAGTTTTTGAAGACTTGTTTGGCCATGAAGCTTATTAATAGAAACTTTTTGCTTTTCTTTATCCAAAGGTTTAGGCTATGCTGATGTTGAGAACCGGGTGCCATGTAAACCAGAGACAGTTATGAGAATTGCCAGCATCAGCAAAAGCCTCACCATGGTTGCTCTTGCCAAATTGTGGGAAGCAGGGAAACTGGATCTTGATGTTCCAGTACAACATTATGTTCCTGAATTCCCAGAAAAAGAATATGAAGGTGAAAAGGTAGTGAAATTCACAGTTCAGTGTATTAATTGGCTTGTTAAATGGTTTATGCTGGAATTTATATTTGAAATGTTTCATAGGACTCTTTGCTTTGATTTTAGTTACTGTTACTGGATTAAGTTGTGTGTGTGTGTGTGTGTGTGTGTGTGTGTGTGTGTGTGTTTAATTTGTATTTTTCTGATACTTGAGGTTCAGGATCTATATGTGACCTTTTTCCAGCAGGAGTTCAAAGTGGAAAATATTACTGAGGCATTCATTCCCAGACTGTTAACTTGTTATTGTACAGTTTAATATTGTAATTGAATTTTTATGTTTTTACAATTAGGTTTCTGTCACAACAAGATTGCTAATATCCCACTTAAGTGGAATTCGTCATTATGAAAAGGACATGAAAAAGGTGAAAGAAGAAAAGGCTTATAAAGCCTTGAAGATGATGAAAGGAACAATGGCATCTGATCAAGAAAAAGAATTGAAAGAAAAAGGAAGCAAAAGTAATGAAAAGAATGACTTTTCTAAAGCTAAATCAGAACAGGATAATGAATCCAAATGTCGGAAACATGGCAAGAAAAAAAATGATTTTGAACAAGGTGAATTATATTTGAAAGAAAAGTTCGAAAATTCAATTGAATCTCTAAAATTATTTAAAAATGATCCTTTGTTCTTTAAACCTGGTGAGTGTTCATTTCTTCTCTTAACAAAGTCATTATTGTTAAAGTGTTAGATTTTCAGGAAATCCAAAATTTCTTTCATCCTGAGTACATTCAGTGGGCTGATGGTGGTTGTATGAACCAGTCCAGTGCCTCTGTTTTTCTGGGTTTTTAAAATTATTTTTAAAATTTGTTCTTTTTAGTTATACATGATAGTAGAATTGGAAAGACAGTGCCTCCCTTTTTGTTTGTACTTCCTAACAAAGGCTGGCATCCAGGCAGGTGATTATCTAGATTTAGCCTCATGGAAGGATTTGCAACCACTTAGAGGAGTCTCAGTATCAAGATGTTCATGGAGAATATTGGAATTATTGTTCCCCAAATATAACCTGGACCAAAGTAAAAAGGATAATGTGTGACTAATAGGAATATTTAAATTTAGTTAGAATTTAACGTTTAGTTAAAATTAAATTGCTGGGGGCTGGGGTTGTGGTTCAGTGGTAGAGCGCTTGCCTAGCATGTGCGAAGCACTGGGTTTGATTCCCCGCACTACATGTAAATAAATAAAATAAAGGTCCATTGACAACTATTAAAAAAAAATTAAATTTCTTGGTCCGGTGTGCCTAGATTCTCAACATCTCAGGAGTCTGAGGAAGGGTGATCACAAGTTCAAGACCAACCTCAGCAACTTAGCAAGACACAGTCTCAAAGTTTAAAAACAAGGGYGGGGGCAGGGCTGGGGTTGTGGCTCAGCTGTAGAGCACTAGCCTAGCATGTTCAGGGTGCTGGGTTCTATCCTCAGGGCCACAGAAAAATAAAATAAAGGTATTGTATCCAACTGCAACTAAAACAAAATCATTATAAAAAAAGGTGTGTGGGGGGGCGGCGCTGGGCATGTAGCTCTGTGACAAAGTGCTCCCCAATTCAATCCCCAGTACTGGGAGAAAAAAATAAGGTTTCTACCCATTTTTATATGGATAATAAAATTTTAAGTTTCCAGAATACAAAGTAGTATAAAATTACATATATGAAATTATATATATGTACATGTATAATGTTTTTAAAATTCTACATATATAATGTATATTTAAATATGTATTTGAAATAGTTTTATGCCTACATATATTTTATTAAAATGAGAACCTATACATCTATTTATCCACTGTTTACAATACTAGATGAATTGAGAACAAGAATAGTTGACTCAAGAAATCAAATTTGATTTTTTTCCCATTCCTATTTGGTTGTCAGTTTGAATGATTTTTTAATTTTGTTTTGAGGTAGGATTCATTTGTTTATTTCATTATCAGAGAAAGGAACAGATTCACTGAAATTTTAAATACATATACCGATCATCATTTTATTCTTGCATTATAGTGAGATGCAATAAGCGGGGCTATACAAAATTAACTGAATTTGTTGATATGCTAAAGTAAAATATTACAATTTTAAAGGTATGCCTATTTTCAGTGGGAAAATATTTTACATATTTTTTAATAATAATTAAGTATTTTCTGTTTTTTCCCCTCTTGCAATGATGTCTCAAGGTAGTCAGTTTTTGTACTCAACTTTTGGCTATACCCTACTGGCAGCCATAGTAGAAAGAGCTTCAGGATATAAATATTTGGACTATATGCAGAAAATATTCCATGACTTGGATATGCTGACAACTGTGCAGGAAGAAAATGAGCCAGTGATTTACAATAGAGCAAGGTAAACAAATACCTTCTGGTGTGTCTAGCTATATATTGCATTTTAACACTGTGTTACCAATTAAAAGTCAAATTTTCTTTGTTTCCATTCCAAAATCAATTTGCCACATTTTGGGAGCTTTTCTGCATGTCTATTTTCCATTTATACAGTGAGGAAAATAAAACATGTTTGTAAAGTGCCCCAAGACACTTAGATAAAATATAGCAATAATAATGTAAGCGCATGAATAAGTAAACCAAAATTTCACCCATCGTGTGCATTTGTAATTTGCTCTTTTAATCACCCCTTTTCTTATGTTTATCTAATGATTTGTTTTCCTTTTATTATGTTTTGTTTTAACATTTATTTTGAGATAATTTTGTACATACAGAAAAATTGAAAGAATAGTACAAAGAATTCACATATACATACCCTTCACCCAGTTTCCCCATATGTTATCATTTTACCAYATTTGCATTATCTATTTGTGTTATTTTTTTTCTGGACCACTTGGAATAAGTTGCAGACATGGCATGTCGTTACCTATAAATATTTAAATGTGTATTTCTTAAGAACAAGGGAATTCAAGAAATTGATTTAGACTTTTTGCCAATTGTTCTACTAGTGTTCTTTATAGCGAAAAAGAAAAGTTTTTATTTCTGGTCCAGGGATCAGTACAGAATCCCACATTGCATCTAGTTGTCTTGTCTTTCAGAAGTCACATGATGTTGGTTTATCCCATTATTGGTGATTGTGTTTTAATGACTTTGTTGAGGTAGTGCCTGTCACATTTCTCCCTTGTGAAGTTGCTGGTTTTTCCTTTGTTTAATTAACAAGTATATTTTGAGGAGATACTATGTAAAATTCCTAGTTCTCATCAAACTTTCTACTTATTTTAACATCCATTCATGATTATTGTCTGGATCAGTTATGACAATAATGGTTGCCAGTGGTGACTTTCTAATTCCATTATCATCTCAATATTTATTAGTTAGCATTACCTTGTGGGAAAGTACTTCCCTTCTTATTTATTCATTCATTTATGAACTTATTTATTCATACCAATATGCTCTCATGGATTAATAGTCAATGAGTTGTAATCTGTCACTGATATTATTTAATATCTGGCTTTTGAAATATTAAGTATATAAAATATTAACAAAACTATTTGTAAGGGTAAATAACTATTAGRTTGTTCATGTGTATATATTTTTAATCAGGAGTTTTATGTTTGAGTTTGTATGTGTTAATAAATGACCATGTTAAAATGCTCTTCTGATTTGGATTATGTAGATCCTTGCTACCTGCCATCAGTGAGAGTAATTAAGACTTTTAGTATACTATAAAAATAGTAAGTGCTACCTAACTAAAATAATGGAACATTTTAAATATATTTAGGTTTAAAGTCCTTTTTTTTTTTATAATTAGGCATCCTTAGGCACCTTTTAATTATAAGGATTAAGATCTAAAATGTTTAAGCCATAGTTCCTCCAAGTTTCATTTTACATCTTTTAAAAATAAAATATCAAGTTGGAATTACTTATGTAAATTTGAAATTTAAAATCCTAGGCAAATTGCTTAGCAGGTTTTAATGTAATTTATGGAGAAACTTCATAACACTGACTTTGATGTATTAACTGGAATCCTTAGGAAGGAAAAATGTTACGATTTTGGGTAATTTCATATTTGACCATTTACCATTATGACAGAAAAGGGTTTGGTCAGAGCTCTTTAGCCTTTAATATTTTAAAATTTAGCTTATGCTTTGTTTTATTCTGTTGAGAACTTGCACACTTCAAAACCATTCATAAAAATATTTGAATTTTTAAATTATTTAATTAAATTATAAAAAAGTTTATATTAGAGGAAAAATTTGAAGCACTTCAGAAAATTTAAAAAGTTAAATTGAACATAGTGTAGCAAATTCAATAAAGATTTATTTTTACCTTTTAAAGTTATTTGAAATTTTATTATTAGAGGAAAAATATTTGAAATACAAAACTTGGTAACTTTCTAAAAAATTAGAATGAATGAAAGGACAATTATATCAAATGTTAGAAAAATGTAAATCAAAAGTTTATAAAATGACTGGTTGGATTATCTCATGATTATTTATAGTTAGAATTAGCCAATGTGCTAATAAGCACTATGTTCTTTACTGTTTTTTTTTTTTTCCTTTTCACTCCTTTTTCAAACTGTATGATAGTTTGCAAACTAGACCTTATGGCCAGTATGAGTTGGGAAATCAGTTTAGTGGGTTGGTATCAGTATATCTGTCTTTCATAAAACAAAGTAGAATAGAAAATAATTATAAAATGTATTGCATGTATCAAGGGTAAATATAAACTTTTAGGGCGAAGACTGCTGGTATAGGAAAAAGTCACTAAAATACAATGGCTTGAAGAAAATAAAAGTTTAACACTCTCATGCATCATTCCTGAGGTGAGAGTTCAGATTGGCAAACAGAGCTGCTCTACACAACCTTTTAAGAACCCAGATGCTAGGCTGAGTGCAGTGACACACCCTGTAATCCCAGCAGTTCTGGAGGCTGAGTCAGAAAGATCACATGTTCAAAGCCAGTCTCAGCAACTTAGTGAAGCGCTAAGCAACCTAGTAAGACCCTGTCTCTAAATAAAATATTTTAAAAGGTCTGGGATGTGGTTCAGTACATCCCTGGATTCAATCCCCAGTTCCCCCAAAAAAAAAAAAAAAAACAAAAAACCATGCACTTCCATCTTACTGCTTTCATACAGATGGTGGTGTCCCCATCTGTATAATACAAACTAGATCCCAGATCCCTAGAAAAAGCAAGAGAGTGAAGAAGCAGTGTACTTAATGCCTGAACACCCAGACTTGGCATGTGCCACACTTCTCTGTTCACCTTCTGTTGGCAGAAAGTTAATCTAATGGTCAAACTTAGTGACAGCTGTAATTCTATTACTAAGGATGGAAAGAAGAATCAATCAATGTTGTGAATAACTAGCCATCTGTGCCACTGTATTATTCTATAAAACTTCTGTTTCAGATAGGTGACACATTCATGTGCATGTGTGTTCATGTTTGTGTGTTCATTTAGTCAGAATGAGACATGTACTCCTTACTGTGGGTTAAGGTTAAAAAAAAAAAAGAGTTTGAAAGTCCTTCAGTAAAATATATCAAACTAAAATTTTATCTTAATTATTACTAGTAACTTATAAAAGAGGCATTGGCAGAAAATTTTGAGACTGATTACTAATATGCATTTTACTGTTGTGATGTTTTCTGTTATCTGATTTGTTACAAAGATTGCACATTTAATAAATCAACTATTAATTTTACTTAGTATATTCCAATAGTATATGCTTTCCAAGTGGCTTAATGGTACTTTCTAAAAAAGCAGAAAAAATAGCAGCATTTTTTTGGAGTTGTTTAAGCTTTATATCCAATCTCCACCTTTGTTTTGTTCAATCTTCTATTGTATTTAGCAAAATTATCATTTTAAATGAACAGTTTAAATATGGATTAAATGTGCATTTCAAATCAGTCTATGACCTGAAGGAGATTTGGGAAACCCAGAAGGGAAACCCAGATTAGTAACAAGCAGTGAATTTAATTTTTTTTTTTAAGTTCGGTGGTTCTTGACCACTTGAGACTCTGCATCTGTGTTTAAAATAGTGCCACCTGATTACTATTTTTAGGTCTAGCATTATATTCTGGAAAACATAAGAAAAAGGGACAATTACCAGAGGTTGTCAGTTGAATCTAAAAAAGATTCTCTGTTAAAGATGGTGTAGCTGCATGAAGTTATGTTGATTTACACCTAAAGATTTGAAAATGAGTGCCTAGGTCTTTATGGCAGGACATTGTGTGTCCTAATTAAGCCTCATTCTAAATTGAAATTAAGGCTGTATGAATCTACAGACTGCAGAACAGCTGTCATTTGCTATTTCCTGATGAGTAACTTGCAAAAATCAAAATATGGCCTATGATAGTGAGTTAATGTCATTTTAGCTCTTATTCATTGAAAAAAGGCAGTGGCTTTCCATTTCTGGTGAGGAAGGTTCCTGTCAGCTCTGAGGCTGATTTGTTTGTTTTTTGGATTTTTGATGGGACCTAGTAGTTCTAAAGTGGTAGTTGATTCATTTTAGTTAAATGTTCTTGTGAAATAAAATAGGTCACTAAAAAAAGAAGGAAGTTTCTTTAAAAAAATGTTCTATTTGCTGCGTTTTTATCTTATTAGATACAGTATCAATTTGGGTCTCTAAAACTCTCTGATTCTTTTTTTGTAATAGTTATTTTTAAGGAGTTTAAAAGATAATAGCTTTTAGGAGGAGTTTTTGGTACATATCTGAAAAAATACCCAAGGGAAGGAACCCTTAAAGTAAAATATAGTAACTGGATATGTTTCTATTCACTTGTTTTATTGTACCATTTTGTACAAAATGAAATGTTTGCAGGTTTTTTTTGTTTTGTTTTGTTTTTTGTTTTTTTTTTTTTTTTTTGGTCTACTGACTTCTTGGGCATAGAGTTAATTCTCTCCAAAGTAAATATCTTCTTTATCAATTCTCTTTATGTATATGTGTATGTTTAAAATAATGCCACCTGATGTCCATTACCTGTTTAAAGTATTTTCCCAGAATCTTACATTATTTAAGTGTCTAGGGCCAGAATTTTAACTGTAGCCATAGGCCACACTTACCTGTAAGGTAGGCGAGGGAATTTATTTTTATCTGGGTACATTATTGTCCTATATAAAATTAAGGCTTCTTTAAATGGAAGAGTTGGACCATAGATTCTGTATAGGCACTATACAGAATCTATACCTATATTGATTTGTATACCTATATTGATTTGTATAGCAAATATACTCTGTATAGGCAAATTAAATAGATGATAAGCAAACATCCCCAAGGGAGTAGAGTGAATGTTCTTGCCACTGAAAGACACTCAGTTAATTGATAGGGAACTTCTTAGTCAATGCCTTAGCTTATTAACCTTGTAGAATATTTTCTGTGTTTGGCACAATGCTTGCAACAAAAATC